GCCATTCCTCCCAACCACACCCCTCCAGGTCTCACTGTCATTGCCCACGTGGGCGTTGAAGTCCCCCAGTAGAACAAGGGAGCCCCCAGGAGGTGCACTCTCCAGTACCCCCTCTAAGGACTCCAAAAAGGGTGGGTAATCTGAGCTGTTGTTTGGCGCATAAGCACAAACAACAGTCAGAACCCGTCCCCCCACACGTAGGCGGAGGGAGGCTGCCCTCTCGTTCACCGAGGTGAACCCCAACGTACAGGCACCAAGATAAGGGGCAACAAGTATGCCCACTCTTGCTCGATGCCTCTCGCCAGGGGCAACTCCAGAGTGAAAGAGTGTCCAATCCCTCTCAAGGAAACTGGTTCCAGAGCCAGAGCCATGTGTTGAAGTGAGTCCGACTATTTCTTGCCGGAACCTCTCAACCTCATATACCAGCTCAGGCTCCTTCCCCACCATAGAGGTGACATTCCACGTCCTAATGGCCAGCTTTTGTAGCCAAGGATCAGACCGCCAGGGTCCCCGCCCTCGGCCACCACCCATCCCACATTGCACCTGACCACTTTGGCCCCTCCCACAGGTGATGAGCCCATGGGAATTGGGTGTACACCTGAATGACAACTCAGCTGGAGCAACAACACTACCAGCCTGATTAAGAAAGCTCATCAAATACTCTACTTCCTCAGATGGCTGAGACAAACTGGACTGGGAAGCTCAGTCCTCACCTCCTTTTACAGGTGTGCAGTGGAAAACATCCTGTGCTCCAGCATCAACGTGTGGCATGGAGGCTGCACAGCTGCAGAAAGAAAAGCTTTGCAGAGAGTGGTGAAGGCTGCACAGAAGTCTGTTGGAGTCAGTCTCCCCATCATCACAGACATTTACACCTCCAAATGCAGGAAGAGGGCCAACTGCATCATGAAGGACCCTACTCACCTAGCGCACTCGCTTTTTGCCCCGCTCCACTCAGGCAGCAGGTTGAGGAGCATTAAGTGCAGAACCACTAGACTGAGGAACAGCTTCTACCCTGTTGCTGTTAAGACTCATGAATCTTTAACCAGAATAATCACTGTGAAAAATTACATTATGTTGCTGCTGATCTATTTCATGTTGCTGTGTTCATGCATACTCATCTGCTCACGCAGACTCATGTTTGTGCTGCTGTTTGACGTAATGTTTTTGTGTTATTAGTCTTCTTCTTTCGGCTGCTCCCTACGTTAGGGGTCGCCACAACGAACTAAGTCGCACGAAGATTTGGCAGTTATTTTTACGCCGGATGCCCTTCCTGACGCAACCACAGACCACCGAGCTACGACAGCTTCTGTGTGGAGCAGAGAGCTGCTATGTAGGACACCTGGAGGAGCAGATGGTGGGGGTTAAGGGCCTTGCTCAAGGGCCCAGAGTGGGGCAAATGAGGGTGGGGGCAGGTGTGGGTGCTTCACCTACCCCCACCCACTTTTTTTTTTATGTTGTCAGTACCGGGACTTAAACCGGCAATCTTCCGATCACAGGCCCACCTTCTCTAACGTCTGCGCCACCACTTCCTGTTTTTGTGCTATTAGTGCTTAGTGTATTTTAGTTGATGTTTTTCTTAGTTCATATCTTTGATACTGTAGTGAACTAAGCCTCAGGTCAAAATCTGGCCTTGAGGGCCTGCCTGGAACAAGAACTGTATTTCATTGATTTGAGTCCAGAAACACAAGATTAAGTCATCCAGAGACTTTCTAAGTGTCCTGCACTGATCAATTGAAAGAACACTCTTTTTCTATTATCATTACTATTTTACAAATGTTTGATAATCAAAGTGTGTTTAGTTCAAACCATTTTTAAATGTTGAAGTGAACTAATCATTTTTAATCAACTGTGAAACAGTATTAGTGATTTTTAATCCTCATGCAAAGTAGAAATCACGTTAAGGTCTGTTACAGAGTAATATGCATTTTCTGATTTTCTGTCTTTGAATGAGCAAGTGTAAGTTGGTCCAAGGTTGGAGTCAAACGCAAAACTAGTTGTTGGAACGAACTGTCATGTTTTTAAAACCTCTCAGACGTAAATATAGAGGCTGGCACCTGTTTTCCCCCAACTCGCCTAAATATTCCTCTCGTCTGTCTGAAAAACATTTTCAATCTGTTCCATAACATTCTTGCTGTTTTTCTGACTTCTAGTGACCTCTTACGTCACAAAAACACACCCCTGTCTGGTCGAAACGACCAATCAGGAACCTCCCAAGTGAACCGGAAATAGAACTCTTTAAATGTCGGCACTTCCTAGTTCAAACCAGTCGGGTGGAGAGTTTGCAGAGCTTCAGTCGCTTCAGGCTCCGGCTTCAGTCGTTTGCAGCTCCAGTGCTGGGAGAACAGAAGTCCAGGCATGATCCAGAGCTCTTCCGAGTCTTGTGGGGATTATGACATATTCCACCTCTGAGTGGAACTTCTGACGGACTCCACTCATGTGAGTCCACCAAGAGGTGAACTTGTGTCGAACAAGTACCGTCACTACTTCGGACGATTCACAGCTGTTCCTACGGAGACGCTGAAAGGGTGCGTTAAATGGAACTTCGTACCAGTGGAGACATCTCCAGGTAAAGAGTTGATTTATACCACCTAAGTGTACCGGGGAAGAAGCTGGGAACTCACCGGAGAGTGCCGTTCTGATGCCGACACACACATTTCCCTCATCCCTCCTTTCTCTCAACTTAAACTTCAATTTCCATCTTTAATTCTTCTATCCTGCTAGAAATCATTCCAGATATTTTTAGAAATGTCTGTTGTACAGCTGGAAGCAAGGTTTTCAACCATCGCCGTATGGTCTAATTGTACAACTTGCTAAATTAGCCATGTTGTTATTTTCCAATTTTGCCAAATTAATGTAAATGTGTGATGTGTTTAAATCGTTTTTAAATAAATGACCCACTGTCGTTGGTGAGTCAAAGATAAACACGTTTCCGTCCACATTTAATTAAATTCAATGCACGACATTATTCAGTCCAGAAAAATGAAAGAATCCGTTTAATTTATGAATATATCACAGCATATGTTCATCTACAATCTTATAATTGTTTTTCTTTTACGTTTTATTGTTGGATGTAACTGGGACCCTGTGTACATAATTTCGTTCCACCACATGTACCACATGTGGTGGAACGACAAAGAACCTTGAATCCTTGAACCTTGAATTATAATATTGGTTTATAATCAGTGTGCTTTATTTCAGTGGTAATGAAGAGTTGTGTAAATAAAAACAACCATTTCATGCTGGCTTTGATTAAGACCGTAAAAGTACAGGAGAGTGTGTGAAGCCATAAAGATGCGAGTTAGATGTGTGACAGTAAGCTAATGCTAATCTGTTATAGTGTATACATATACATATGTATACATATTTTTTTTACTGTAGTTTATCGTTGTCATTTACTGTTTTGGTGTCTGTACTTTATATGTTCTGTCTGGAACTGGTCCCTCTTGTAAATGAGGCTCAATGAGGAGAGCCTGTATAAATAAAAGTTGAATGAAAAGTAACCATTTGATTGATTTATTTAATTATTATTTAATAATTTAGCATCTGATACACTGTGTATTTATTTATTTATTTATGGTGGTTTTTATTTACACAACTCTTCTTTAACTTCATCAACTCTTCATTCTATTGCGCCGCTCAAGGTGGCTGCATTTTGGAGCAGCTCTGTTACTTTCATTCTGTGATTTTGCTTTTGGAAACTTTAATTCCTCTTTTTCTGGATGTAAATCACAATTTTTTGGATGATTGTTTCCTCTGGTATCAGATGCTGTGCAGCTGGAAGGATTTTTACTGAAACTTTTTTAGTTTTGGACATTTGTTATGATGCGTAACCATGGCAACAAGGCAATTTTCTACAACCAACAGCAGCTGGTTAACATCTCAAAAACTCAAATAATATCTCAACCACAGCCCTAAATCTCAAATGAGTTGAAAAGGATGTTCTGTGGATGGATTCTCATCTACCCGCCAGATGTGATCGAGTGCCTGACCACTGAGATCCTGGAACTAGCAGGAAACACGGCTCATGACAGCGGAAGGACAGGATCGTCCATCAGCACCTACAGTTGGCTGTCCGCAGCTACGAGGAGCTTGGCAGACTGCTGGGAGGAGTGGCCATCGCTCTGGGAGGAGTTCTGCCCAGCATTCAGGTGGTCCTACAGCCCGGGGGAACTGTCAGGCCAGCCGAGTCTGGGTGGACGGATCGGACGGCATCTGCAGCCAGTTTCTTAGGATCCACTGTGGGATGGACCTTTACAAGAGATCCTGCCTACAGCATCAGTATCTATAACATGTCTTAATGAAATGAGGATAACGAGTTACAACAACAAATAATTTCCCTCTGGGATTAATAAAGTATTTTTGAATTGAAATGAATTACCCCTGAAATAAGGCATGCACTTAAATTAGTGGAAATTTCTTAATGATTGTGAATGTAGTGTGATTTGATTTAGTATTTTCTTTGGTCTGTGTTTTAATGTTTTTCTTTTGATGCTTTTAATTAATTGTTGGTATTATATTTTCATTAAATTACTGCCATTGGTTTTTTATTGTGAAGCACTTTGGTAACAGCTGCTGTTTTAAAATGTGCTTTATAAATAAATTTGACTCCACTCTGCTTGCTGACAAGCAAAAAATAAAACTGAAAACTACCTTTATCATTAAACACAGTGTAATTCCTACCCAGTTTAATTGAATATCTTACACCAGAAACATTAACTTACATTCCCTGTTCAATACCAGTCCCAAAGAACTTTAAAATCTCATCTCAAAACCTACAAAAATTCACTGTTCATATCCCCCAGGATATCAGCCTACCACTTGTTTTTTTGTTTTTTCTTGTTGCATGTTACATGTGTTACATACATGATAATTACACTTAAATATAATGTTGAAATGTTTTGTATTGGTATGATTACAAATGTTTCACTGACTTATCAGTTCTGCATAAACTGATTCAGATTAAATGTGGATTTTCTCCTCTGTATCCGTTCTCCTTCCAGAGTGCACGAGCTGGAGGAGCAGGTGAAGGATGCTGAGACGAAGGCTGCAGAGAATCTGCAGGATGAGACCAGAAGGCATCGAGAGGCCTACACAAAGCTGGACAGAGACAGGAACACAGAAATCGACCTGCTTTGTAACCGGTACATTTACCACATCATAACTCCACCACGATAAGATCTGAAGCTTTGTTCTGGTGCTGACTGAGAGCACTCACAACTTGCACGAACCGAACCTTTTGATACAGGAATTGTTGAAATAGCACAAAAACTGCAGAATGAGTTACGCTTCACACAATCTGCCTGGATTATTGAGCATGTGTCTGGACATTCACACAGTAATAACAGTAACGGAGCCATATTCAACATTTCCAACTGTGAGCAGTCAAACATTTCATAGTTCAAATCAACTGAATTTAAAGGATTGTGAAATGTTGTGCTTGTTTTTGTGAGAAAATTGAACGTTGAGTGCTTCACAGGTCAAGTAACCCAGTCAATCATCTGAAGACATCTATATTGATCCACCACCCACCACCTCCCACCCCCACCCATACCCACACAGGATGCAGCAGTTGGAAGAGGAGAACGGAGAGATGACGTTAAACGTGTGTAGACTCAAGTCTCAGTCTGAGAAACTGGACCAGGTGAGTGGAACTGTCCAAAAACTAGACTGGCTCTGATTTATTTTCATTTGTTTGTTCAGTTGTGTAACAATTTTTAACAGTGTTCCTGTTAGCTGATGGATGATGTGGCAACATCTGTTTTTTACTCTTTTTAATTGTCCACGTTTTTAAAAAGTTATAACTAGAAACATGTTAAACAAGAATCATCCTCCAGAGTGTGGTGTGTACAGTTCTATTTCGTATAGGCTTCGCCCTTTAAGAGCTGTCGCTTAGTGAGTTTATCCCGATATGCGGAGCATTGCACTGAAAAATTTAGTCCACGCCCACCTGCTGTGTGGGCCCCACCCGGTCCGTATAAATTACATTAAGAGCGGGAAATCGGCTCCCCATTTTTTCTTCAGCGAGCTAATAGCACTGTCAGAAGAACAAAGAAGGAAAGTTGTGTAGATGACCAACCTTTGTTAAGAATGCTTGGCCCGGCAGTCGACCTCCGGTCGTCCGGTGAGTTCTCCTCCCCGAGGAGAAGCTGACGAGCAGTCTTATTCAAGGTAAGTGCCGAGGAATATTTCTCAGTGACAGGTCACTACACGCTGGACAACGCCATCTTGTAATTTTCCTCTTATCGCCGACCCTCGGAGCGAATCGGATGGTTCCTCCGGGACAGGCGGCGCTCAGCTGCAGCACCCCGCTGCTCATTCCCTCCTGGAGAGCGTAGTGTCGGTGGAGGGGGGCTGAGTGAATGCTCACCCCATCCCACCTCGTTTCGCATCAGCGATCACACCGCTCCCGGCCGACGGCGCCCTCAGGGGCTGCCCGGCGTAACCCAGGAGGCGGCTGACATGAAGAGACCCTTTTTTACGTCCCACACCTTTCCCGCCAGTTCGGATGATCCGGCGGGAAGGTTGTTTACTAGGTTCCATTCCGGCTCACCGTCTTGATCCATATGGCCTCGTGTTCCCAACAGGACGTCCTACGGGCGAGGCCACAGACGGTTCTTTCCTGGTAGATTGGGGGGCCGGTCTCCACAGTCTGCACCCATCTCCAGAGCAGGGGTTCACTGAGCGGAAAGTCCCTCCGTGCCCCCTGGAGCCGAGCCTGATGGATGCTTCATTGGAGCAAGATGTCGAGGTGGACCAGCGTCCCGTGCCTCCGGTTAGCATAACCGAGACGGTGACACCGCTCTCCAACTGAGCTCACCAGCATGTGTTCCACACGGCCGCAGCGAACAACACGTTACGCTGTTGGCGTACACGTTCAGAGGAGGGAAGAGACGGTGGCCCTCTGTCCTTCGGCTCGCTCCGCTCTCGAAGCGACTGCTTGCTAACGACGCTGTCGGCCTCTGCAGTACGCTCCGTCTACAGGGCAGCTGACGTCGTCCTCAACCGGTGCGCCTCTTTTGCTGTCTGCCACCCCGCATCGCAGCCGGAGAACGAGGTCCCAGAGGTTCTCCTGGCTCGTCACTCCACCTTCCTCTCAGGAGAGCTGCAGGAGCTTTGTTGGAGGTCCTCTTTTCATCAGCGAGAGATCATTTCAAGATGCTCCACGGCTGCACAACGTCTCCCCAGCTCTGCTACACCAGCCCCTCCCGTCAGACGTCCCCGGTATCCGGAAGTTCTTTTTTTTTCTCGGACTTCGCCAACAGGGGGCCCTCCAGGACAACAAACAGAGCTCAAGGGAAGGTAACCAGGTGTCGGGTTGCTGGAGGTGTGTTCATGACACGATGTGGAATAAACATCCTTTTATGATGAAGTGTCTTTTAGCCAGGCTGTCAGCACGGATGGTCTGACAGCGGCCCCATCACACACACTCATCACGAATGAGCCTTTTTAAGGTTGTTTTCATTCACTGTCAGCGGTGCCGATACACGCTCCCGTGGCATGAAAGCGCGCACGCAGCTCTCAGCACCCGCCGTTCACGTCAACGTTAACGTGAGACCACGGTACGAGCCCAGCAACGTATCTCGCTCTCGGCAGGAGCGACACGTTTTTTCATCGCAGTGGTGTCAAACGCACGCTCCCGCAGCGTCAGCAGTTTCACAAGCCTCACAGCGGCTTTGCTCCTGCATCCTCGAAGAAGGTTTTCTGAATTAATACTGCAGCTCGTGGAATCACTCAAAAGTTCACGTGACTCGCAGCCAAGAATGAATGTGTTTCTGCAGTCTGAGCCAGTGGTAGCCTCGCTCCACCGATGCCGCGCGCTGCTTCCTGACCGCACCAGTGCCAATGCGTGCTCCCGTGGCGTCAGCAGTTTCACAAGCCTCACAGCTGCCCTGCTCCTGCATCCTCGCAGAAGGTTTTCTGAATTAATAATGCAGCTCGTGGAATCATTCAAAAGTTCACGTGACTCGCAGCCAAGAATGAACATGTTTCTGCAGACCGAGCCCAGTGGTAACCTCGCTCCACCGATGCCGCGCGCTGCTTCCTGACCGCACCAGTGTCAACGCGCGTTCCCGCGTCAATCCTGGCTTAAGGCGTCGCATGAATGAGGGCGTGCACATGACTCTTCAGGGCACGTCGGCTCATATGTGCACCCGCTTCCCGAGCGTTTACACGGAGCAGCTGCACACAACGTGAGCACAACACAGATGAGCTGCGTCCCGCAGCAAACGCACAATGTTTGCATGCTCGGGGGCGCGCGTGTTTTTTCTTTCTCACTCAGCGCGCACTAGCTCATATCAGCATGCATGTAAGTTCACAGCATAAATGCGTGCCCGCTTTATAACTTATAAATGGGTGGCAATGAGCGCGCGCTCCAGACGGATGGGCGAACCGTTTTCATCCGGGGATTCACGCTGCAGTACAGCTCAAACTCCGGTGTGGAGGAACTCTGTGACGTTTTTCTCTTTTCTGAACAGATCTCGTCCCCTCTCGCAGAAGTTCAGGAAATTCTGTTTTAAATATAATTTCTAGAGTCTCAGAAGGAGAGGAAAACGCAAGGTCCCTCTCTCATCACTTCCTGGTCCCAACGAACTGGAAGATGAGATTTATTTTAGTTTGTCAATTTCTGAACTGTGAGAAACAACACTCCATTATGCGCCGAGCTGCCCTAAATCTGCTTTATCTGGACACCTGCTGCTGCTGAGCAGTTTGTACAGACAGGAGGCAGCAGTGCAACTCACGTGAACCGGTTGAGTGATATCAGCTGTTTTCCGTCAGCAGACCTACGTCACACATGTCAGTTTCTCACAGAGGCACATACATTTAACAAGTTGTGGGGGCGCTGTGGTTCTCCACACAGCAGCTCATTTAAATGTTTTTTGGAGTGTCGCACGGGCTCTTTGAATGTGACTCAACACTGACCTTGAGCTGCAGTATCATCAGGGTTTTCTGATTCACGCAGACAGCAAGTGACTGTTGCATACATATTGGGAAGAGATGGATGCGCTCAACCCATGTGCCACATTGTGAGACAGATGCTGTGTGGGGCATACCCAATCTGCTCTCCATGAGAGTAGGGTACATCTCATGTATTCCGAACAGGGGGCAGATGTGATGTCCAAAGACGGCCCTTTGCGGCACGGGGACCTGGGACCTTCCACCCAGAGCTATGGCTCAGACACGGCAGAAATCCTGCGAGCGGCTGTGGACGTGTTGCAACACGAGAGAACGCTCAATGTCAATTATAATTATCGTGGAGCCACGGGACGATCCACCGCTGGGTGGACGTGCCTGCTCACAGCCTGTGGTCGTAATGCTTTTTCACCTTCCTCTCTCCCTCTGATATCACGGTTTTCTGAACCGAGCTCAGGAGGAGGGACTGGCAGCTCTTCTGCCCCAAGTGCGTGAACACATCATGGTTCCCAGGCCTACGACACTTCTTATCAGGGCGCTCGTGGAACCTGCCGTGGAGGGAGGACGCTCTCCTCCAGGCGGGAGGAACGATCAGGAATTAATCAGAATAGGCCAGCACCTGTGGTCTGGCCGCTGTGCGGATCTTTTTGAGGAGATGGATCTCTCTCAAGATGTAGTGCTTACGATTCAGGATTCACGTGCTGCAACCACCACAGTGCTGTTCACATCAAGTGGTCAGTTTTTTCAATGCTGCTGTACAGAGAAAGGCGTAGAGACCTTTTTCATGTCCACTGGACGACATGCTGTCCTTTTCTGCAGCAGTCGATGGACAGAAATCTGATGTCCAGCACGATTATCGTATGCTGCAGCCATGTTTTCTTCTTGTCTCAAAGTTGTCGGAGACAGAACAACCTTTAATCATACTCTGACGGAGCATTTTGACTCAGATTGAAATAGCAGCTGTGGGCCTGTTTGTGACACGGAAAACGCACAGTGTCAATTATGGTTTTCTCTGAGCCCACAAGACGAACCACCGCTGGAGGTGGATGCGTTTGCGTTTGCCCACACCCCATGACCCAAAATGCTTCTGTACGTGTTTTTCTCCACCTCCTCTGATTTTACGGTTCTTGAACCAAGTTCAGGAGGAGGGACTGACAGCTCTCATGGTGGCCCCGAACGCGTGAGCGCACCATGGTTCCCAGTCCGGCAACGCCTGCTGTCGGGGTGCCCGTGGAAACTGCTGTGGAGGGAGGACGCTCTCCTCCAGGCAGGAGGAGCGACCAGGAGTTACCCAGAAATAGGCCAGCACCTGTGGGTCTGGCCGCTGAACGGATCCGCTTGGAGAGGATAGGTCTCCCACAGGATGTAGTGCGCACATTTCTGTTTTTACGTGCTGCATCTACCACAGCGATGTACACATCAAAGCGGAAAGCTTTTCAGCGCTGGTGTACAGGGAAGGGTGTAGAGGCCTCCTCATGCCCATTACGTGGCATGCTGTCCTTTCTGCAGCAGCTGATGGACAGAAAATTGGCGTTCAGCACGATTAAAACGTACGCTGCAGCCATCTCTTCCTGCCACGAAGGTTTTGGAGACGGAACAGGTTTTAATCATCCGCTGATGAAGCGTTTTCTAAAGGTGTACAGAGACGCAGGCCTGTTTCACACCCATTTGTTCCACAGTGGGATTAAATACTGGTCCTGCAGGTCCTGATCAAAGCTCCATCTGAGCCTC